ACCAGTTCTACCTGAAGCATGACCTCATTCTTTGGAGTGAGGGCGCCCCCTGTTGAGAAATTTGGGTCAAGTATTTCAGGACCTCAGAAGACTTCAGGTTGCAAGAGAATCCAACTCAAACTTTTTTAAGATAAAAATAAATAAATAAAAAGTTACTAGTGAAGGAGTTAAGAACATGCCACCCCAAAGTAACAGCATATTGAGTTAAAGGCACTTGTGTGGTAGGAGTTATTAAGAAATTATTTTAGACAGAGAGGAAAAGGAGTTCTTGCAAAGTTCTCATTTTTTAAAGCATCTCCAGTAAAGTTTCTTGTAAAGCCCCAGCTCTTAGAACCAGGCTGGCAACCTTTGATTTGTAAATACAGGCCATTAGAACCGAGTCCACCCAACAGGGCGATCCCGGACCTCCTTGCCCTTGCCCCATATGGTCCTAGTAACATGGCCACCCCCACAGATCCCCACTTGCGTAGAACAACTGTGGTGCCCCACATTTGCATATTAAAAGAGTAGCGTGGGAGGGCCAGCTTTTTCCTCGGCCTACATGAATAACATTTCATGGTCAAACCAATCCCCTGAGCCCTGTGCAAATCAGACATCACCTCCTCCAGCATCTGCATATACCTGGCTGATATCCATGACAGATGGGGAACCTCCTCTTTCGGCTTGGAGACCCCCTCCTTCTGTCTCTGTATGCAGGAGATTCTTTCTTGTGTCTTCTCCCTTCCTTCTTGCCTATTAAACTCTCTGCTCCTTATAATCACTCCACGTGTATCCGTGTTGTTTTATCTAAACCAGCACGAGGCCCAAGAACCCTGGCTCCTCCACTCATCGGAGCCATAGTACTTCAAAAACAGCAGGTGCAATAAGTTCACTCTGACTTTTCTTCTGTTTCTTAAAAGCAGGAGATGAAATTCCCATGTGAAAGGTGCCCTCCCTATACCCAGAAGGAAAGCATCATTCTTATCATCAAGGACAGGAAGTTGAGGCTGAAGGAAATCTGTACAAACAAACCTTGTTAAACTAACTCTCATCTTCCTAGTCACTTCTCCACTCAATTAACTACTCTATCCTGAACTGCTTTGCTTTGTCACATTTTTCATAATTTACTACTCTTTAACCAATTCAGTTCACAAGTGTTCAATTGTAACTGTTTCTTTGGGTCTTCCTTATGAAAGATCTTATGCCACTAACACTTGTATGAAACGAATTTGTATGTTTTTCTCTTGTTGCTCTGTCTTATGTCAATTTAATTCTCAGGCCCACCTGAAAAATCCTAAAAGCGTAGAGGCAAAATTTTCCCTCCTTTACATAATGGCAAATATATGGGAGCAGATGGCCTCAGCCCCAATAGCTCCAAGTCATTTGATTTCTCTCTTCACCATTTTCGCCTTTGCTTGTTCAAACTCTTGCCTCTGTTCCTTCTAGCTTTCCACTGGCAGGCATAGTCTTTATCTAGGACACATCCTTAGGTCCTTAGAACGGATAAAGAGCTTCTTAGTTTATAGATAAAACCTGACAGGAGGATTCTGATTGGCTCCATTTGAAACACTTGCTCATCCTTGGACCAACTACTGTGGCCAGACTGGGAAAGGGTCTATGACTGGCAGCCCCAGGAGGATCAAAAGGAGTAGGGAAGGCCAAATCTAAGAAACAATGCTGGGCGGACAAAAACCACAGATGTTTCCTATACAGCAATGTACTGATAAATCCAGGGCTCCAGCTGAGCATGGCAGTGCATGCCTATAATCCCGGCACTTTGGGAGGCCGAGGCAGTAGGATAGCTTGAGCCCAGGAGTTCAAGACAGGCGGGGCAACATGGCGAAACCTCTTCTCTACAAAAAAAATTTAAAAATTAGCTGGGTGTGGTAGCAGTGTACCTGTAGTCCTAGCTACTCAGGAGGTTGAGGTAAGACTATCACCTGAGCCTGGGAGGTCTAAGGAGGCTGGCTACAGTAAGCCATGATCATGCCACTGCACTCCAGTCTGGGTGACAGAGATCCTGTCTCAAACAAGCAAAACCCAAAAACACAATCAGCGTTCCTATGGAAAGACGAATAACCTTATTTTAAAATTGTCAAAGAAAGCCCGGTGCGGTGGCATATGCCTATAATCCCAGCACTTTGTGAGGCCGAGGTGGGCAGATTACCTGAGGTCAGGAGTTCGAGACCAGCCTGGCCAATGTGGTGAAACCCCGTCTCTACTGAAAATACAAAAATTGGCCGGACGTGGTGGCAGCCACTTGTAATCCCAGCTACTCAGGAGGCTTAGGCAGGAGAATCACTTGAACCTGGGAGACGGAGGTTGCAGTGAGCCAAGACTATACCACTGCACTCCAGCCTGGGTGACAGAGCAAGATTCCATCTCAAAAAAAAAAAAAAAGGGCAAAGAACTTGAATAGACATTTCCCCAAAGAAATATGCAATAGTCAATGAGCACATGAAAACGTGCTCAATATCATTAGGGAAATGCAAATTGAAAATCATGAAACACCATTTCACACCCACTAACATGGTTATGAATACAAAGTTCAGATAAGTGTTGGCAAGGATGTGGAGAATCCTGCTGGGGAGGAGTATAAAATGGGACAGCCACTCTGGAAAAGTCTGGCAGTTCCTCAAATGGCTCAAAATAGCGTTACCATAAATACAGCAATCCCTTGGCATCTGCACAGGGGACTGTTTCTACATACTTGTGGACTCCAAAATTGGCAGATGCTCGTCTGACAGTCAGTTCTGTAGAACCTGCCCATAGGAAAATTCCTTTTATCCTCAGGTCCTCAGGTTCTGCAACCTGGGAATACTGTATTTTTGATATGTGGTTGGTTGAATTGGAGGATGCAGAACCCGCAGATATGGAGGGCTGACTATATACTACTGGGCATATGCCCAAGAGAAATGAAAATATATCTGCACAAAAATTTGTAAATGAATGTTCACAGCAGCATTATTCATAGTAACCAAAAGGTAGAAACTTTTTTTTTTTTTGAGACAGAGACTCGCTCTGTCACCCAGGCTGGAGTGCAGTGTCACAATCTCGGCTCACTGCAACCTCTGCCTCCTGGGTTAAAGCAATTCTCTGCCTCAGCCTCCCAACTATCTAGGATTACAGTCACCCGCCACTACGCACGGCTAATTTTTCTGTATTTTTAGTAGAGACTGGGTTTCACTATCTTGGCCAGGCTGGTCTTGAACTCCTGACCTCGTGATCCGCCCACCTCGGCCTCCCAAAGTGCTGGGATTACAGGCATGAGCCACTGTGCCCGGCCAACGCAGAAACTTTTCAATACACGGGTAAATAATATGTGGCATATACTTACGATGCAATATTATTCAGCTAGAAAAGGAATGAAGTACTGACATATACTACAAAATGGATAAACCTGTTACAGGTGGCAGGTGTCCAAGTCACCAGGGCAAATCTGTATGGGTTTGCAGCAACTTCAATTCTTGCCTCCTCAGAAGAAAGAATTCGATTGAGGGGCAATAAAGCAGAAAAAGAGACTGAGGCAAGGTTCAGAGCAGGACTGGAAGTTTATTTAAAAGACCTTTAGAATAGGAAAGAGGAACGCACGCTTGGAAGAGCCCCAAGCCAGCACCAAGGGCAACTGTGATGTTGACCTTGATCCTGGGACTTTTTTTTTGTTTTTGAGACGGAGACACCCTCCGTCACCACGCTGGACTGCAGTGGCACAATCTTGGCTCACTGCAACCTCTGCCTCCCGGGTTCAAGCGATTCTCCTACCTCAGCCTCCCAAGTAGCTGGGATGACAGGCATGCACCACCACGCCCGGCCGATCCTAGGACTTTACAGGGTGATTTCTTTCCCATGATTCTTCCCTTACGGTGGATCGCCTGCATGCGCAGTGCCCTCCTTACCCCCTGGGAAGTGAGCACCGCTCAGCGTGTAGGAAGTTGTACGCATGCTCATCTGATGTTTTCTTACCTTTTCCGGTAGAGTTCCCGTAGAAGGTCATACTCCCGGATTTTGTCTCTTAATGCGTATGCCCTGGTAGTTGCTTCCCCCTGTCATCTGCATGCAACGAACACTTTAGTGCAACAGGTGTGGGTCATCAGGAAATGGCCTCTCCCTCGCACCAGCTGCCAATTTATCACTTTTAGAGGCAATGTGATAAAGGCCTAATCATCACCCCACATTCCTCCTGGGTGGGGGAAGAGCCCTCTCCTGCCCTGCTCATGACTAACTACCTGTTAACAACCTTGCAAATATTAACCCAACCGCCAAAAGACCATAAAATTCCATTCATATTAAATGTCCAGATTAGTCAAATCTAGAGAGACAGAAAGTAGGTTCCTGGTTGGCTAGGGCTGGAGGAGTTGGGAGGATCAGGGGTGATAGCTAAACACGTTTTTTCTTTGGAGTGGTAAAAATGCTCTACTAAAAATCATTGAACACAAATGGCTGAATTATACGGCATGTGATTACAGGGTAATACATTTCCGGGGCTGCTTCTGTATGTTCTGCCATGTCCTTTCGGGCCTCTGAGAAATGGACAGAGCTCCATCTGAAGCCAGACTGACTGAGTTACGATCCTGCTTCTCTTTTCCTCGCAAGTAACTCCTTCCTCAACAGCAACACGGGGTGATGCTCCTTACGTGGAAAGGTGGTTGCAATTTTTAAAAACATACATCGGGGTTAATCACGTGCAGTGTGTGATACACGACGCTCTGAAACACTACACACGCACACGAACGCAAGCACGCAGACGAATATGGGGCCTGGTTGTGTCCCTGGTCTCGGCCCTCGCCCTCCTTGTTTCTTGGGCTCCAGAGCAAGCAGGCAGCAGAGCAACCCTTGAACCCTGGAGTCAAGAAAAAGCCCCGCACGCCTTGGTCCGAGAGCAACAAGGAGCGGGGCCTAAGCGCCTGCCGAGGCCGCCCTACCAGGCAGAGGGAGTTGCTACGGAACAGCGGGGACCAGAAACCAAACCCCACCCGCTGCGGTGAACCAAGAGCCGCAACGGATCCCGCACCGCCCGGGTGGGAGAACAATGCTGCGCCTAGCCCGCAGAGCCTCGCGGTGCCGCGCCCTGGGGCGGGCCTTCCTGTGGCCTGCCGGGAAATGTAGTGTCTGAAGCCCGCCCGCACCGCCTCGCCAGTCGCCGGCTGGGCGCCCCGTGCAACTACAAGTTCCATCACGCTCCGCGAGGCCTTGATCTCCAGGCTTTTGCAGGGAAGGGAGTGGGACGAACATGGCTGAAGGCAGTCGGGGTGGCCCAACGTGTAGCCTGGTGGGTGGCAGGCAGGACCCAGTTTCCGGCAGTGGCGGCTGCAGCTTTCCAGAGTATGAGCTTCCCGAGCTAAGTACGCGCGCTTTCCATGTGGGCGCCTTTGGGGAGCTGTGGCGGGGCCGTCTGCGCGGTGCCGGGGACTTGTCACTAAGGGAGCCGCCGGCATCCGTGCTGCCAGCGAGTCAGGGGAGCGCTGACTCTGACCGGGAGGATGCCGCGGTGGCCCGGGATCTGAACTGCAGCTTGGAGGCGGCGGCTGAGCTGAGGACGGTGTGCGGGTGAGTGCGGAACAGAGGGGCTCTTGCAGCATGGGGTCAAACGGGTTGCAGCCTTGCTTCTGCCCTCCTCTGGGGCTCATCCCTGAGAGGGCCTGTGGTTTAGACCTGGGCTAGGAATATCGCCCTTTCAAAGCTTTCAACCCGCTGGAGCCTCCCTGGAACACCAGGAGATGTACCGGGACCCGAATGCACAGTTTCTGCGAGTTGGAGCAAAGGGACAAGACAGCTGCATCGAAGACTAGTTTTTCTATTTGCTTATTCCAAAAGTGCTTGTTAAGAAAGAAAAGCAATCAGGGTAACAGCGACGTGTACCTGCCGTTGTACCGACATGTACCAACACTTTGACAATGGAGGAACCTGAGTAATGGTGAAGCTGCGGCAGACTTCATCAGAGGAGTGTTAAAATCTCGACTAACTGGTTTCTTTTGGGGACCTTCCGGGTATTCTGTTACTGAAATTTTTCCAAAAAGTGCCTTATTTGGGGAGGAAATAAAAAATAACTTTAATGATCTCTTTCTCCATTTAACAGTATTGGCTGCCTTTATCGGCCTTTTCATTGTAAAATACAACCACAGAAATCATTGTCTTGAGTTCTGGCCTCTCTGAGCCGCCTGCTGGATTTTATATGACTTCGTAATTCAGTAATGTATTTAGGAAAACAGCCCTAACTCGCTGTGAACAAGATCCAGAGCCGACCTTAAAGTATTGCTTTTCCTTTTTGTTTTAGCCTGGATAAACTGAAATGCCTTGAGGACGGTGAGGATCCAGAAGTCATTCCCGAGAATACTGACCTGGTGACTTTGGGGTATGGAGGACTTGGTTTTTAATGTTCTATTTATTTAAACATTTTTTTCAACATTATGTTTTGAAAAGTTGAAAGTACCGTACTGATTGTTATCTGTGTACCTATACCTTAAATTCAGCTGTTGTTAACATTTGACCATGTTTACTTTAGCTGTGTGTATGGGAAGCCTGCTGTTTTTCTTTTTTACTATCCCATTCAGAAGTTAGACATGATAATTAACATCAGCATATAGCTCCTAAAAGTATCACTCTCCTACATAATTATTGTGGTATTATACCTAAGAAAATTATCAAGAAATACATAACCTGTAATCAGTTCATATTCAAACTTGTGTTTATTTTTGAATATTTTTGAATGTGTGTTTACAGAGGTAGAGTTAAGTCTACTTAGATCTGGTGGGAGGCAAGCTAAATACTGAGTGTATCTCAAACTATTTGTGGTGAAGGATAGTTTTAGTTTAAAAAATTTTTTAATCTGACAGATTTATACTTTGATAAAATACTATAAAAAAGAATTACTAGAAAATGGAATTTAAAAAGACAAACACAATACAAGTTTTTAATTATCAAATTCAACAGAGGTAAAATAACAATTTTACTGTCAACTGGTAATGGAAGCTTCTAAAGGCTTCTTCTTACTTTCTGTACAGATTGGATAACAAAAAGGTCATAGATCAATTCTGGTCTGCCTACCACTCCTTGAGAGCCACTGCTGTATGATAATACCATAGAGAAGTTGTGCATGTCGTAGTGAAATTTATAATTTCCAATTTACAGTCCACTTATTTCTTTTTTTTTTTTTTTTTGAAGGGGGTTCGCTCTTTTTACCCCGGCTGGAGTGCAATGGTGCGATCTCAGCTCACCGCAACCTCCGCCTCCTGGGTTCAGGCAATTCTCCTGCCTCAGCCTCCTGAGTTGCTGGGATTACAGGCACGCGCCACCATGCCCAGCTAATGTTTTGTATTTTTAGTAGAGACGGGGTTTCACCATGTTGACAAGGATGGTCTCGATCTCTTGACTTCGTGATCCACCCGCCTCAGCCTCTCAAAGTGCTGGGATTACAGGCGTGAGCCACCGCGCCCGGCCAGTCCACTTGTTTCTTACCACCTCAGACGTGTTCTGTCATTCTTGATCCTACCCTATTATCCCCCTCAAATATTCAGGCAGTCATTTCAACTCTACCTGGGTTTTCTTTTATAATAACTGCCAAATCTGTTCCCCTGGTTCCTACTGCTAACTTTTACAGCAGCAACACCTGGAGCACTATGCAAGGTTCCTAACTGTCTCTGCTAAGTAGTCATTTCTCCCACTGATTTATCCATCACGCTATTGCCTGAGCTTGCCATTTTGCTTAAAATGGTCTATGACCTTACACTTCCTGTATGGAAAAATTTCAAACTCCTTAGCTGGACATTTGAAGCCTTCCACATATATCCCAAATCTGTCTTTCCAGATTTATTTTCAACCACTTTCTCTTTTGGATGGCCCAAGATGCATGTGGCCTCTTTCGCATCTGAAACATACCACTTCTTTATTTTATTTTATGTTTTCTATTTTATTGTTTGAGACAGAGTCTTACTCTGTTGCCCAGGCCGGAGTGCAGTGTGTGATCTCTGCTCACTGCCACCTCTGCCTCCTGGGTTCAAGGGATTCTCCTGCCTCAGCCTCCTGAGTAGCTGGGATTACAGGGATTACAGGCACCCGCCACCATGGCCAGCTAGCTTTTTTGCATTTTTAGTAGAAATGGGTTTCACCATGTTGGTCAGGCTGGTTTCAAACTCCTGAGCTCATATGATCTGCCCTCCTCGGCCTCCCAAAGTGGGACGATTACAGGCATGAGCTACCACGCCCAGCAGATACCACTTCTTCCCTGCGCCCCCCGAGAACGAGTCCTACGCTGTCGCCCAAACTGAAGTGCCATGGCACAATACTGGCTCACTGCAACCTCTGTCTCCTGGATTGGAGCAATTCTCCTGCCTCAGCCTCCCAAGTAGCTGGAATTACAGGTGTGCACCACCACACCCAGCTAAATTTTGTATTTTTAGTAGAGATGGGGTTTCAACATTTTGACCAGGCTGGTCTTAAACTCCTGACCTCAAATGATCCACGAGACTCCCAGAGTGCTGGGATTACAGGCGTGAGCCACCACGCCCAGCCAAGAAACAGATGCATTTATACTGCCTTGAATGCTAACATTTTTAAAGTCCTTGAAGGCACGTTGAGAGTCCTAACTCTCATCTATGTATTGTCCTCAGGCTACTATACTACCTTGTTCCAATTGGTGCTCTGTAACTATTGTTGATTAGTTGTATTTGTCTAGAAAGCAAATCTGATTGTGTTAGTCTCTGTGTTACTCCCTTGCCTAAAACCTTTTGATGTCCCTTAGGCTAAAGCCCTGAGCCTGTAGTGGCTCACAAAGGCCTCTATGGAATACACCCTTGCTGGCCTTTTTTTTTTTTTTTTTTTTGAGATGGAGTAGCACTCTTGTTGCCCAGGCTGGAGGGCAATGGTGCAGTCTTGGCTCACTGCAACCTCTGCCGCCTGGGTTCAAGCGATTCTCCTGCCTCATCCTCCCGAGTAGCTGGGATTACAGGCATGCACCTCCACGCCTGGCTAATTTTGTATTTTTAGTAGAGATGGAGTTTCTCCATATTGGTCAGGCTGGTCTGGAACTCCCGAACTCAGGTGATCCGACTGCCTTGACCTCCCAAAATGCTGGGATTACAGGCATGAGCCACCGCGCCCGGCTCAGACACACTGCACTATGTTTCAGTTCCCGGAATGTGTTCTGTCACTACAGGCCTTTGCCCAGAACAGTTATTCTTCCTTATCCCCTGCCCCTGCTGACTTCTTCTCTTCCTGCAAATCTTAGCTAAAGGACTAAGGACTCCATTTAGGTTCCCTTATATGCTCATGTAGTTCCCTGTTGAAATGCTTATCATATCTGTAATATACGTGTTTGATTTTCTGTCTTCTTAGCTACACTTGAAAGTTACTTGATTTTCAGTAGCCTTGGAAAAAAAAAAAGTTCCATAAGTTATATCTGCCACACTCACTGCTATATTACCAGTTCCTAGAACTGTAGTGCATAGTAGGGAGCCAACAAATATTTGTAGAATGAGTGGAATAAACAAATTTTCAGAAGACTCGGGAAGTGAATTTTAGAGATAGACTGAAAAAAGAACATTGATGATAATCATAATAAAGCAGACTCTCAATAATTAATAACATTAATTTATTTAATTTATAATAGTTTTGTTAAGCCATGTTAAATAGTAATTTTAAAGACTATTTAAACATCGCTTCCCCTAACTGCTTTGCATTACTAGGTCAACTAGATCTCTTTGGTTATCTTCTAGTCCCTCCAAACAGGATTTGTGGGTAGAATTATATATAATTTAATGTAAATCAGCATAGTATTCTTCAACTGGGGTTATTTTGATATACTGTGAAGCTGGTTTATTTAATACATGACTGATGTTAACTTTAATGGTCCTGCCAAAAAAAAAATTAGACTTCTGGCAAAATCCTAAATCTGTATCTCTATGCTTTTCTGTCTCTGAACATTCCTTCTCCTCACTAATAACTTAACATTATTATATTATAAAAATAAAACCTGAGTACATCATCTGTTTATTATGACATAAATACATTTCTGGTACTTTTTTTCCCCTGCATCTAATAAAGGAGCCCATTTTATGCATATAAGGGACAAAAGATATTTGGTAGATATTGATTCTTCTTTGATACGTGTTGATCTCTTAATCTATAGCAAGCTGCATAGCTTCAGCAGTTTTGAAATTTTTTGACAACTTAGTTGGAAGTTTTTAATTCCTAGGAATAGGAGAGACAATTATTACTACATGGGTGCTGCTAAAACTTACTTGTCATTCCAAAAGCTTCAGCAACAATACTTTTTTTTTGAGACAGAGTCTCTTTCACTCCTGTCACCCAGGCTGGAGTGCTGTGGCTTATCTCTGCTCACTGCAACTTCTGTCTCCTGGGTTCAAGCAATTCTTCCGCCTCAGCCTCCTGAGCAGCTGGGATTACTGGCATGTGCCACCATGCCTGGCTAATTTTTTATCTTTTTAGTAGAGATGGGGTTCACCATTTTGACTAGGCTGGTCTGGAACTCCTGACCTCAAATGATCTCCCCGCCTCGCCCCAAGGGGCTGGTATTGCAGGCCTGAGCCACTGTGCCCAGTTCTTCACCAGCATTACTTTTAATACAATAGAAATTTAAATTTGCTCATCTCCCTCACTTTTGTGGCCAAGAAAGCACTGTTTACAGGTCTAAGATATACTGTTTAAAGGGTAAAAAAGGGAACTTTAGAGTCCTGCAAAAAAAAAAAAAGAAAAAAAGAAAAAAAATAAAGAACCACAATATTGGAGGACTCTTATCCACCACCAAACCAACCACAAATGATTTTTTTTAAAAACTCAAACAGGGCGGGTCACTTTAGGTCAGGATTTCAAGACCAGCCTCACCAATATGGTGAAACTCCATCTCTACTGAAAATACAAAAATTAGCTGGGCATGGTGGTGTGTGCCTGGAGTCCAAGCTACTTGGGAGGCTGAGGCAGGAGAATCGCTTGAACGAATCCCAAAGGCAGAGGTTGCAGTGAGCCAAGATGGTGACTGCACTCCAGCCTAGGTGACAGAGCAAGACTCCTTCTCTGAAAAAGAACTGAAACAATTCTCATATATCTGAGGTTGACTGCAGTGATGAAAAGAGCACCATTAAACTGGGAATCTTGTGAACTATCACAGTGTCCCAAGTGTTACAAAAATGAGCAAGAGGAAATAAAATCTAAAGAGAACTTATTGCAGATAATCAGGAAACAACTGTTTATACAAATCAACTTTGGAGACTACCTCCTTCCACCCAGAAAACAACCAGGAAACAGAAGAAAGCCTGTAAGTCTACACTCCAGACAGAGCTGAATTTACTCAGATAAGCATTTGAGGATATAAGAATGTTTACCTTGGCTTATAATTTT